GCGTAATCAGCCAAATGAATATATGGTCAGACTTTTCACTTCTTGTAGTAAAAATGGAAATATTTAATTTAAGTTAATATATACGTGGGTACTTAAAAATCGAATTGCTCTAGTTACCCTAATTAATATTCTAATTTCCTACCTGCGCAACACCAGTTGCCAATTTTATAGTTAATCAGCCATATTTAGTAGTAAATGCATATTTGTAAATTATAATTTCCCTGTATTAACATATACATACAAATCACATATCATCCCACTCTTGTTTGTCCTTTACTTGTCAACCGATAAGAGTGTTAAATATATACTGCTAACTGTAAACTATAATCTTCCCTGCTTAACAGTAATGGATCAATATGGGTACACTCACGATTTGTAATCTAAGCAATCAAACTACTTTGTGACTTTTCGGATTTGTGCCCAAGATGTGCTAAATATACACATGGCAGTAACATAGTGCATTTGTCACTGTCACATGATAATATTGCCCGATTTGTAGTTCCTATAGAACAGCAACAAAATGATATCAATAAACGACAATCTGCACACACTCTCGAGCAACCGGCTTTTGGCTTTCGTTTGCCGGTTATAGCGCTCATAATGATAACTGCAATTAGCAACGGAAACACACACAAAAACGTGCACACACACATACACACTGACACACTGGAACTCGAACTCAAACTCAGTGAAATTAGCAAATTTGCCAAAATAAAAAAAAATATTGTTTTTGATAGCTTCTTCTCTTGTTGTTATCTAAGCTCTGTGCCATTGTTTAATTAGCAAAAAATAATAATGTGATAATTGAAGTTTGGCAGCATTTCGGTATCCAGTCCAAGCTCGAGGGCGTATACGTAATATCGCTCAGGTACTTAGCGCCTGAATTTGTTTGCTTATCTATTTGCCGTACACGAGTTTATGTATGTAGCTAAATTTCTATTCTATTTTTTTCTTTTTTCTTTGTGGCGTACGTGACAATGGGAAAGTTTTGAGAGAGTTTTTTGACCAAATCAAAAAGACGCTTCTAGACTCATTTTTGTTATAGAAAATGGTTTGGGATCTGTAAAATTTCCCAAGCATTTGCCCATCCAAGCGTTAAGCCATTTCCTGTGAATGCACTTTTTGTCTGGTGCAGCGGCTGAGTTCAATGTTGTTCAGACTCGTTTTGCTATTGCACAGTTCTAGTTTGCATTAGATTTGTTTAGTTTGGCGATAATGTTATTTTCTTAACTTTATTGCGAATGCTGCTGACGCAGAAACATTTTGAATTATTATCTGATTTTTTTATTGTTTGCAATAAACAAAATACTGGGCTTTTGGGCCTACTTGCCTATGTTGGCAGCAACTGCATAGCTTTTATTATTGCTGGCAATGCCTTTTGCCTGTTGCTATTTTATTCAATAATTATTTCTGCAGCCCAATATATAAATTACATCTTTTATTTAAGAAATTTACATGTTTGTTTCCCAGTTTGTAGAATAGCGTTGCCATCTCGGTTTTTGTTCAACTCTCTTCTCATTTCTTCTTGCTCCTCTTCCTTCATCTCTTTTTGTTGTTTTTGTCAGCTCAAATTGGCCAGATAAGCTCTGGCAGCTCCCTTTTTATAGCAACTTGTGTTTGGTCAAATTTAATTAAATTCAAACTGGAATTGATAATTAATTATACGAAAATAAAAGATTTTACGATGCAAAACATTAAATACATTTAGCATATTTTATTTATAATTGTTCCAATTACACATTTCTTCACCCTGTTGCAGAGCGTTGCCATTTTGCTATTTTTACAGATTTGTATAGGGTCACACTCTTTCATTATTCCTTCTTTCGCGCTTGTTCCTTGTGAAATTCAACTCGCAAATTTATTTCGGCATCATAAATTATCCAATTTAAACTATTGCAATTTGTTTATAGTGTTAAATTGTTTAAGTTAATTGAGGGTGAGTTCAATTATGTAGAAAAAACGATGAAGTTCCTATAATTCCTCGTAAGCAAACATCAGAAATTTCTGGAAGTTTGGGAAGAAGAAGACTTGTCAACGGCGCATTTTTTCGACTGCTTTCTGTTTAATGTGTATAAATTTCTTAATAATTTCTTGATTAGTTTGTTATTTTTATTTTATTGTTTTAATTTACTTTTGTTTTTACATTTTTATTTTGTTTTTAGCAAACGTTTGGCCTGGCTTTTTAGTTCCAATAAGCCAGCCGCCCAGAAGGCGTTAGACAATAAGCCAGCAGTACCTGCAACACCTGCACCTGCAGCAACACCCGCTCCAGCACCGACTGTTAAGCCTGCTCCGGCAGCAGCTCCTGCGAAACCCAGTTCACCTGCGCCCTCACCCAAACCAGTAGCCGCGCCTGTTGCGGAACCACCAAAGCCAGTTACTCCTCCGAAACCAGCTGTTGTCCAGCCAGCGCCTACACCAGCTCCCGCTCCAGCTCCTGCTCCTGTAGCTCCTACAGTTGTACCTAAACCAACACCAGCAGCGCCCAGTTCACCTGCCGCTCCAAGCACACCTACTGCACCCAGCACTCCACCTAAGCCCGCAGATTCTGCCAAGATGCCGATTCCTTTGCCGAAATCCTTGACCGAGGCCAATACCAATGGCAATGACAACTCAACGAATGGCAATGCCGCCCTAAACGATATCAGCTTGGACAAGAAGCTCTTCGATGCAAAGCTGCCGGCCAGCAAAGCTCCGAAAGTGGACCAAGAACAGCTTAAGGATGCCAGCAAGGACTTCATTCAAGGCGAGGCGAATGCCTTTGTGCAGTCCATCAAGGAGGCACAGCAAGCGGGCTATCGGTAAGCAAAAAACCACCAACCGCGAAACACCCACGCAACACTTTTTACATTTTCAATTTTTAGTGGGTTATTTTAAGTTGTTCTTTTTTTTAATTAGTTTTCGCGCGCTGACAAAAAAAAACTTCCGCATGGCAGCCGCAGCCACAGCCAGCGAGCGAGCGGGCGTGCGATGAGTTCAACGAACTCTCCTGACTTCTTGTCGCTAAAATAGTTGCCATGTGGCAGCAGCCGACGGGCGGACAGCGTTGCACCATCACCAGCAACAACAAATATGTGACTGTAATAATGCACCGTGCTTCATCATCATCGTCATCATCGTGAATGACATAATGATGATGATGTTGTTGTTGCTGGTGACGATGACGTTGTTTATTTTAGTTTCATGTTCTGTGCTTGGGCGGACAGCTCTTGGCAACTGGCATCAACTGCCTGACGGCCTGCCGGCTCTGCGGCTTGCACTTTTTTCTTGGTTATTTATATACCCTGTACATAATGTTGATATGGTTGTGTATGCACTTGCCAGCAGGCAACTTTCGATTTCATAATGTTTGCACAGGCTTTAAAATTCTAATCAAACTCTTTAGAAGTTAAACACCACACTGTTATCGATTACAAAGCTGTTTAGTGGAAAATCCTCAGTAGCTTTTGTAAGCTTGAGTTGATAAAATCATTATCATAATATAGAGCGCCATAAGAAACAAAACAAAAACCATAAATGAAATCCTCTCTTTGCAGAATCTATGCCTTAATGTATTTATTGTAAACTATAGCAGTTATAATCTACCATATATTGCTATTAAACTAGATAGTAAATTTAGTAAATTAGCCAATTTAGCTAAAGTTTTATTATATCGATAAATAACCGATTTATAGCGATAGCAAAATGAATAGTTTAGTCGCTTCTGAATCATCTTAGAATATAAAATCTCTCTCACTTTCATTTTTTGTCACTCTTTCGCTCTCTCTCTCACTCTCACTCTCTCGCTCTCGTAGATGAGCTCAAAACGTTTTTATTGATAACTAAACTTGTCTATCATAAAATCAATAAAAATCGATTAGCAACTTTTACGAGCTGACATACTCTTACAGTAAAGGTTCCTATGCTCACGAAGTCTTCGATTACTACTACATGCATAAATACTTAACATATACATATTTCATATTTCTTTTCCAACTTCACAAATTATTAAATTACATTATTATTGTAGGGTCTACATAAAAAAGGACTAGTTAACACTAAATACTCAATTCATAAGAGCTCACAGCTGGCTGTAGACCCACAAAATGCCGAATTGATTTTTCATTAATATTAATGGTGTAAACCTTGCACGCGAGCCTTGCACTTCAGCCACCTGGCTCAAGGATGTGACCCAAAGCAGCAGAGAGTCCACATACCTTTGGGCAATGCGCCAAAAATCATCAAATTTTCAAAACGAAAACGAAAATTGAGCGAAACTAAAAAGAAAACCTATGCAAATACAACTCGAGTGGTGCAGCGGTGCGACGGCAGTTTTTGTCGCCTGCCTTCCGTCCGTCTATCTGTTCGCCCGGGTCACATGATCTCCCCCATGCCAAGTTTATATTTAAACGTGGCATCTTTTGGAAACGCAGCGTTTGTCGCCGGGCAAAAGATTTACTTGAAGATTTATGATATATATGGGCGTATACCCTAGCTGGGGGAAGATTGTAACAAATTGTTGTTAAATGCGCAACCTATTAGTGGAGAGTTCTTTAAATGCATGGAAATATGCGCTTATAAATATGTATACTTGATCAGTGCAATGAAAGTTCTTTTTATAGGAATAGATATATATTAATATCCATTTTATTGGGAAATCAGATGAATGCTATAAAAGCAATCTATTTGGTTCTTTTGTTTTAGTTAGAAGAGCCTATTAATGATGGATCTCTAAGTATATTCAGGATAGCTAGAGATATGAAAGTAT